CCTCAACCTACCTACCCACTACACAATCACACACACACCACCAGGGACTGGAATTAACAGCATACCACCTGCCAAATGCTGGTAGAAAGTCTGAGGGACTGGTGAACTTTCTTTAATTCACCAGCCACAGCGGCTGGGACAGTGGTGGAATTAAAAGTTAGTTTAATGCCCTAAACACCACCACACCTAAGTACAAGCACACACAACCTGTATTCACTGTGGGGGGAATAGGGTTGGCATTAGAATGGGATCCTGTCGAAGGACGTGGTGCTTGTCAACGTACTTACTGTCCCTCCTTGTTCTCTGCACCTGAACAGAAAGCAGGAAACAAAGCAGGAGAGAAATGAAAGGCACGAAAAGCGTGACAGACAAGAGAGGCAAGAGAGAAAGGACAGATATGAGGGCCAGGAGGCTAGGGCCAGCCAGCTCAGCCGGACACGATACTGACAGACTCTGCATTCTGCACTCAGGCCTGCTTATGTTGAGACGGGAAAGGGTTAATGTCTCCCAGCTGTTAAATGATGTTTTGTTGGCATATGAGTATTCTCATCCCCCTTTTTATTTTTTGCACTGTGAAAAAAAATATCAGTTCTGCTTTGCAAGCACTAAAGTGAGTTTTAATATTATTTTTCATTAAAAGCTGTAAAGATTGCTTTCTATTTTTGGAAATAAAGATTGCATTAACTTTCTATTTTCATCAGAACAAAAGTAGCTTGTGGTTCTTTGTCCTCCTCTCCTCATGTTTGTCTTGGAAAAGTGACTAAAGAATTCAGAAAGGAGATATTTAGATCCAAGTCGACATAACGCTTCATATTGATGCCTACCTTACATTTGACAGATGCTTACATGATACACACAATTATGTTTTTGACGAAGAACAACTTTATTTTGGATTGTCACTCACAATGCATTTTCTCACAAACAGACGCTAGACCAGTGCAACCTATGGATGGAAGGAGCTGCAGTAATGATGGTACTGAAGGAGTGAATGAGGATGGATATTGGGGCAGGAGGTTGAGGGAGGGATGGGTGGAGAAAAGGAGGTGGATCTTGGATGGATGTTTGGGGATTTGAACAGGGGATAAATACTACAGTGAGTGTTCTGGAAGACAGCTACTACAGTAAAGCCCTGCTCTGTCCCCTAGGAGACGCTGATTGGAGTCTGGCCGAGGGAGCGAGCGAATGAGAGACAGAGAGCGAGCGGACCATCGGTCTCGCCTGAGCAGGGTGTGAGTCCGCCAGCCGCCCACTGACGCAAGCGCAGACCCACACACCTAACCCCGCCGGAGGAAGAGAAGGAGAAGGGGCATCAACGAGGGGTGAGGAAGAGGGGAGCACCCCATTCACCCAGCTAAGGCGTTCCAGAGAACACCCCTTCCTTTCTGTGCGTTGCCCGGGACGACACCAGCACAGCAGCACATACACCCAAACAAGAGAACGAACCAAAAGATGAATGAATGAATGAAAGAACAACCGACCAGCTGACGGACATATGTACGGGCAGACACACAGACGCACGGACAGACAGCAGGACGAGGGACTACAGTCTTCTTCTCTTTGCTCCCGTGAAGGATGAGGATATGGTGGAGGAGGAGAAATACAAGAGGAGGAGAATGGACAGAATGTGTATGAAAGCAAAGAGGACGGGTGAGGGTGTGACATCTTTGGAGATGGACTGTGCTTCTCTTACTGGGAACAGATCTGTTGTTCAGTCTTTTTATCTCTTTATCTAGCTAAATCACACACTGTTCAAAGGCAGCTCTGATGGAGGAGGAGAGGGAGAACAGATGGGGTCACCACGACTAAATGACTCAAACAAGGGAACAAGGAGGACAGGATGATGTACAGTGGTTGCTTGTGTGTGCATATGAGGAAGGGTTACAGATGTGGGATCTTAATTTGAGCCAGGAACAGGAAATGTGAATTACTATTTGAATTATGATTAATGGACATTTTTGTAGGGGTTGATACATTTTTGTAAGGGAAAATCAAGTCTGACATTTCTAAATGCAAATTACAAACTTCAGAAGCCTTTTTAAACCTCATACACTACAAGTTTTAAAATGTCCTCCTGCAACAGGGTGATCAAATTAAGATCCTACATCTGTACCATAGAGATGGTTTGCTCCTCCTAACCCTGTTGGTAGTGGTACACCTTGTTGTCACAGTGACGACCCTGACCCGGAAGCGGGTTCGAGACCAGTGTTGACTGACCAGCGTTTTGTCATCAGAAAAAAAAAATTAAATATAAATGATGAATATAATGCATATTCTTTATTTTTTCAGCATTTTTGCTTTCTAGATGTTTCCTTTATTTTCATGAAAAATATCTTTTTTTGGGTGATATACAGAGTTTATGTTCATTTGGAATTTGTGGGCCGTATTGTAGTTTTTGACAAATGGATAACATGCTTATCTGTGCTCTTGCCTCCTGAGTCCTACTCAGTGATGATAATTTCTGTTTGATTTATTCTGTCTGTTGAATCTATAGATAGATAATCTGTACTCTACTGCATGGGCCTTTCTGCACCAGCTCTGTAAGCCAATTTCTGCCTGTGTTTCAGTAAAAGTGTCAGTTTGTGACTCACTTCTCTGGCTCGACTGCTTTACTGTGTCCATGATCTGTGTCCCACCTATATGGCTTGGAGCCATAGCTCCTCCATTGATGTACCTATGTGTGTATGGGAGGGAGTGCAAGACTGTATTAGTGCATCTGTGTGTAAGAGAAAGAGGGCACTCTTGAAGGGTTTGTCTGCTGGCTCTAATTACAGACCCTAAACATGCTTATTTCCTCACTTCCTGCCTGCGTACCTCCCCTCAACACACACACACACACACACTCCTTACCAAACCACAGCTTTAATTACACTCCCGAAGAAGCCAATGCTCCAGATCTTGGTCACACACACTCAGATACAGACTTAGACACATGCCCCACAGAGGGAAAGAAAGGTAAAGTGGTCTGACTGCAGTGTAGACAGCATACCCATGTGAAACTGGGAGCGGCCGTCCACCTAGCAGAGAGAGTACACAGTGGGCTACAGCTCTCTAGGAAATATTCTGTACGTAAGAGAAAGTATCTCAATAGTCTTACATCTTCCTCTGTCGTCAGATCTGAAAAAGGGAAAGACAAAAACAATATTGAGGAAGGCTTATGGGAATTTGACTGTCCAGTTATTTCATCTTAGTGGCAGAAAGGAGACAAGGATCTTTGGAATCATGACCTTCATGGATGGACAGTCAAAAAATTAATAGAATTAGGGGTTAGAGTGTAGGCTGAGGTGAGTTGATGCCCTGGAAAGCGTGTCTGTTTACTGTTCCATTAAAACCATGGTGAATTAGTTTCCCAGGGAAGGTCAATCATTAAACTATAACTGAGATTCTACTCACCATAACATTCCATAGTAAATACCCTGGGAAGAATAACAAACTCTCTGGATGGGATAAGTAATGTATATTACTCTTTATTAAGTGACACAGATGTGCATTAAACTTTGTGTACAATATGACTGAGCAAAAAATATAAAGGCGCTGCTGTACCATAGCAGCAACTTTAGTTGACAATTTGTAAATGTTAATTGAATGTCAAAAGATTTTGTTAGTGAGGCTTTTTGGTTTCTCTCTCTGGGTCTGCAAACTACAGGTATATTTCCCTGTGTGTGTATTCGATACTTCAAGAGTTACTGTAGATTTACCACAAAACCGGAGTCGAGATATGAATAGTTAAATATGTTTCACTCACACAACCACAATAATGTGTGCATGGTGTAACACATGATCCTTCATGAGTTACTGTAGATTAACTACAAAACCGGAGTCTGACTTTTTTCATTAAATAAAACTTTTAAATGGACAAACATGTTTCACACACACACACACACGCACACACACACACAAACACACACACAGGGTTATGTACCAATATATCTGCAGTCCAGCGAAAAAAACAACAACAGTTATGATGACAGTTAAATTACATATTGCAAATGCAAGTTCAGCATACATGATTAAAAGAAGGGCAAAACAAGAAAGGATTGTCCTTGTGAGTATTTCTGGATTCTGTGGCTTCAGTGTTTGTGTTTTGGACATTGCAAGCCCTTGCCCGTCCTCACTAAGTGAAGTTTTTTCCCCCCTCAAAGTAATAAAAGTCTACATTGCAAACCACATTTAGTGGTTTTGTGTGGGAGGCATGTCCATGGAGTAAAAATACCCTTTAGCCAGCGCTGTAGTTACATATCACTCCTTTCATAGAAACTATTTTCTGTAACTTACATTCACAAAAATGTCATATAAGGAGATAAACACATGGGGTCACTTCAGAACTTCCAATAATTGTATATCCTTAGAGCTGAGCATATGAGGTACATGAATGTAAACTATTTTAATTGCTGCTTAGTTTGCTTGGTATGTCAATCAATTGTTGCGTTTCTAAGCTTTGCTCTTGCCCCTTCTGAGTGACCTGTCTTTAACATACCATAAGGCAGCAGTGGAAATCAATGGGTGCATAAATACCTATAAAGTAGAATATCATCAATATGCATGAGTAGGATGGTTACCATCCTCACAGGGAATATAGGTACATTCTAATAGATTAGTGAGTGAAGTTAATTTAACCTTATTCTGCCAGGAAAGTGCTTCAAACTATGTCATTGTTCATGCTCATAACAGCTGCACGGTGAGATACATCACACTCATAATAACCTCCTGGATAACAACCATGCTCAAATCGGTAAACAAAATAACATGTTATGAGGCTCTTCAGTTCTCAGGTGACTTCACAGTCAGTTTATAATGATTCAAGTTCACTTAAAATCAGTACCAGCAGTACCAGCCTCAAACTGATCCGTAATGAATATAGTGTCATACAAAGTAAATGTAAATATATTGGGTATATAAATCCGTCTTTGGAGAGTGAGAGCATGTAAGGAATGATTCTCACTGGTCGCTGAGTATGTGACATCAGAAGGAGGCAAATGTAGTAAAAGGTCTGTCAATGCCATTGCCAAAGACATTCAGCTGTCTGCATTCCCCTTTGTACAGGTCTGTTTTTTGTCTGTTTTGGCCGAGAGAACAATAGAGGTACATGCATACTATAAAGTACAATATGTCTTGGATCAGTGGCAATGTAAAACTCTGAGTAGGATTACAGTTAAATAGAGCACAATAAAAAGACAGAGCTTTGATGCATATAACAGCTCCGTGGGAGTTGTTGGGTGTATGTATTTGTGGGTATGAGTGCATGTGCACGTGTGTGTTTGTTGAGTGCGTGTATGTGTGTTTGACAAGTGTGTGTGTATACATGTGTGTGTATTTGAAAAACGTATGTGTGCTCATTTGTCACCAGGCCATGTGACGTGTCCGACTCGTTTGTCAGCATTCAGCGCTCAGAACCGGGTGTGCAGGTTTCAGCCCGGATCCCGTTTCATTCCCCAGTAATGTAGATATCCTCTCCTGCCACGCCTCACACCCTTTCAGAAAAACTCCAAAGGCCTTAGCTATGTCTGTCCACCTGGAAGCTGAATGGAGGTTATGCAGAGGAGGAGACAGAGAAAGAGGGAAGACAGCGGTGCGATCCGAGAGTTAGAAAGTGTCTTTCAGCAGTCCCAGTTTCCGGAGCGCTTCTCTGCGCGACTCATCCGTCACTCCCCGTCCGGAGAACTGCACAGTGATCCCCTGGGGTCGGAATGAAGGCTTGGAGATGGACTTCCGCCGGGACTCCGGAGAAGGGGGAGACGCCACCACCCCTGTTGGAGCTAGGGGGAGTGCTGTAGCGGAAAGGTCTGGGGGCTGAAGAAGGCACTGGGGCTGAAGCTTTGCTGGGGGACCTCACTAAGGTGTGTGCGAGGATGTCAGGTGTGGTAATGGGGGAGGGGGTGGTGTGGGATGGCGTGACCATTCTGGTCTTCTCCCTGTAGCTGTTGACCTCGTAGGGCATGGTTTCTACTTTGGTTGGGATGGAGGTGGAGGCTGGTGGAGGCATCCTTTTGGCCGGGGTGGAGTTGAAGGCTGGGGGAGGCATCACTCTGGCTGGGTTGGAGGTTGAGGCTGGGGGAGGCATCACTCTGGCTGGGGAGGAGGTGGAGACTGGGGGAGGCATCACTCTGGCTGGGAAGGAGGTGGAGACTGGGGGAGGCATCACTCTGGCTGGGTAGGAGGTGGAGACTGGGGGAGGCATCACTCTGGCTAGGTTGGAGGTTGAGGCTGGGGGAGGCATCACTCTGGCTGGGGTGGAGGTGGAGGCTGTGGGAGGCATCACTCTGGCTGGGGTGGAGGTGGAGGCTGGGGGAGGCATCACTCTGGCTGGGGTGGAGGTGGAGGCTGGGGGAGGCATCACTCTGGCTGGGGTGGAGGTGGAGACTGTGGGAGGCATCACTCTGGCTGGGGTGGAGGTGGAGGCTGGGGGAGGCATGGCCCTGCTCTGGATGTCTGGTTGTGGTGGGTCAGCCCTGGTTGTGGTAACAGGAGCAGGTGTCATTACCTTAGTCTTACCCTCCGTAAGGGTTGAAGTCACTGTGAGAGGTCACTGGGTGGGCCTTATTGCCATGGCCACCGGTGGAGGGAGCAGCAGCAGCAGCCTTAGAGGGGTTCACCACAATGGTCTTCCCGCCATAGCTGTTAAAGTCCTTGGATGAGACTTCGGGCGGGGGAGAAGCAGGCTTGTTGTCATGGATACTGGCGTGAGAGCTGGTGTTGACTGTTGATGGTGGCAAGGGGCTTGCCTGTCTGGCCACGACTGGTTTACTCACGGGTGTCCGTGTAGGGGTATTAGTAGGAACGGGTGTAGGGGTGGCAACCGGAATCGGGGCAGCAGCGGGTTTGGTGTTTGTGCTGCTGTTGGGGGTGATTAGGAGAGAGAGATCCCCTGACGGGGAGCGGTTTCGGGTCAAGCCCAGTTTGGACAATGCCTCCATCCGGGACTTATTTGGAGTGGGATCCCTGAAGGACTCACTGCGGGTGGGAAGGTTTACCTGGACCTTCTGCAGCCCATGGAGCTCCTCCGCCTCCACAGGGTGGGACGTCCCTGATAGGTTAGCCAGCATCTGAGACTTTCTGTCCTGGAGGTTCACACTGGCCAGCGAATGGCTGTGGTGCTGGTTGCTGCCCATTATCATGCTGATGTTGTCGGGGTAACGGGTGGGCTTGGCTGAGGTGGTCGGGCCCTGTTTGATTGGATAATCCGGGGAGGTAGGTGGTCTCTCTATGTTCTCTAAGTCGAGGCTCCTACGGGGGTTGGACAGGAGGGAGGAAGAGAGGATGTTGGTGTTCCCCCCGCTCCCCTGGTGCTCGGCGATCTTCTGGGCGATGAGGACGGGGGTGGGGACGGAGCCTACAGGATGGTACAGGGCGTGGCCATAGGGGGCGCTGTCCTTGCCAGGGTGTGGCAGGTTGTACTCTGTAGGGAAGTTTTCCATCGCCTCGCGCCTCGGCTTGTTCTCAATATGCCTCTCAGGGTTGTTCATCACCATATTCTGGGTGAAATCTGTGAAGAGAAAGAGTTTGGAAAGTAAACTCATCAGTTATCTATACATTCTGTATCTTCAAAAGACAAGGTCAATGGCAAGTCTATATCTTCAATTGAAAGTCTGAATCATATCTCTTGTAGAATCACTATACAGTACAAATGTCAATGCTGAGTAATCTGTCATTCTGATGATAGTGATAAAGTCTGATCTCATTTGACTGTAGTAATTCTAATGATCCAAGGGACTGATAATCATAATCAAATGTAAACAGTACTGTTCAGGGTGGAGCGAGGAGTGGACTGTGCTGTGCCTGGCATGGGGGGGTTGAACGGTGCCTGTATGGGCTGGACCAGATCAGGCTGTGCTGGGCGAACCAGGTCTATGATGTCCTGGTCCTTGGGGCTGGTGGGTCTGTCCAAGGCTGAAAGGGGTGGTACAGGGCTGGGGGCGGATGCCAGGGTGGGGGGTCTTGGTCCATCAAGCTCAGCTACTGCTGGGGTAGTCAGCAGGGAGTCGATGGTCTCCTCAAAGAACAGGATACAATCCTGCTCCTCCTGGCTTAGGAACTGCAGCGACTTATCCTCCTGTAGAAGGCGACACAGAGCACAGGGCAACACAACACACATGAGTTACTTGGATGGGAAGCACCGGCTACAGGGAAACACTAGTAGATCATCAAAAACATAGGTTAAAGGTGCTCTTTGGTTAAGGGGTAATTGGTCACGCATGAGTTACTGTTATACTATACTGTATGTCACAGTAATGTCTCTCCTATTCCATCTCAGGTCTAGTGTATGGAATATACTTCCTGTTGCCCAAAAACGTTATGAAAAGGATGGAAACAAACACAGAACTTGTTCGTTTAGCCTTTCCCTTCATACTCTAAAGGACCACACTACATCGAATGATGATCTGCCGTTCGTCTGACGTTCGTTCGGCGCGCTGTGTTTTAGGGACCACCCGCTGATGGACATCTGACTGCCAACGTTTTTGCACGATTCTTAACTGAGAGACCCTGTGTCCCAATCCATCCAGCTGCCTGCCATCTCTCGTATGTTTGTGTATGTGGGTGTGTATGTATGAGCGACGGTGAGAACACAGGGCTGCTTGTTCATGCTCTCCCACCTCCCAACCTTCTAATCCCCCCAACCTAGCTCAGAGACCCCCGTCCTGGAGGGAGGAGCCTACACCCTCCAGCCCCTCCCACAGGGAGGCCTCACTGCCTACATGTTACATCACTACCTGTCCCTCTGTACAGAGCACATACAGCCACGAACACAACACAATAGGCATAGGGTATCCAATGATAGGGCTGCTTTGACGGCTGCTGGATGACACTGACTATAGATTTTTCCACTGCTCCCTGGGGTCTGTTTCACTCAAGATAATGCGCTGAATCAAAGGGCAACCTGGTTAGATTGTTTAAAATGAAGCTTAATGGGTTTAGGAAAAAGGTATTAGGTCAACAGAATGCACAATCCAGCTAGAACCTAGCTATATATACTGTAGATCCCCATAAAACAATGTATCAGCTAAATACACACATGTAGACAGTAGACACACAAACCTGGGAAGCGCAAACAGACACAAATACCTGGCTGACAATGGGCAATTTCTATTGCAACAAGAAAAGAAAATACAGATGCACCCATACATCTTTCATCGACAATTACCACCACTGTCAATCAGTGACAAACCAAATAGTTTTGTTTCTTACTAGGGTGGATGCCATCTCGTTGCTAGGTATCACTGTAGGGATGGAGAGATCAATCTTTACCAGAGTAAATCTTTACCACAACACAGACCTACTTGTTCTACTGAGCCACACATACACACTATGCACGCACCCATGTGCACACTCACACACACATGCACTCACGCATACACCGGCAGACAAACCAGTTGAAACCAAACACAAAGACCACTGACTTTTGTTGTGAGCAGGGAACCTACAAAACTGCACCTTTAACGGGTTTCCCTCAGTCTCCGTGGAGGGGGGACCCCCGGGGGGGGGCAGCCCACCTTTAAAGGGGGTTTTCACCACAATGGTCTTCCCGCCATAGCTGTTAAAGTCCTTGGATTAGACTTCGGGCGGGGGAAGCGGCTTGTTGTCATGAACTGGCGTGAAAGCTGGTGTTACTGTTGCTGGTGGCAAGGATTTGCCTGTCTGCCACATCTGGTTTACTCACGGGTGTCAGTATAGGGGTAGGCGTAGGAACGGGTGTAGGGGTGGCAACCGGAATCGGGGCAGCAGCGGGTTTGGTGTTTGTGCTGCTGTTGGGGGTGATTAGGAGAGAGAGATCCCCTGACGGGGAGCGGTTTCGGGTCAAGCCCAGTTTGGACAGTGCCTCCATCCGGGATTTATTTGGAGTGGGATCCCTGAAGGACTCACTGCGGGTGGGAAGGTTTACCCGGACCTTCTGCAGCTCATGGAGCTCCTCCGCCTCCACAGGGTGGGACGTCCCTGATAGGTTAGCCAGCATCTGAGACTTCCTGTCCTGGAGGTTCACACTGGCCAGCGAATGGCTGTGGTGATGGTTGCTGCCCATTATCATGCTGATGTTGCCGGGGTAATGGGTGGGCTTGGCTGAGGTGTTCGGGCCCTGTTTGATTGGATAATCCGGGGAGGTAGGTGGTCTCTTTATGTTCTCTAAGTCGAGGCTTCTATGGCGGTTGGACAGGAGGGAGGAAGAGAGGATGTTAGTGTTCCCCCCGCTCCCCTGGTGCTCTGCGATCTTCTGGGCGATGAGGACGGGGGTGGGGACGGAGCCTACAGGCTGGTACAGGGCGTGGCCATAGGGGGCACTGTCCTTGCCAGGGAGGGGCAGGTTGTACTCTGTAGGAAAGTTTTCCATCGCCTCGCGCCTCGGCTTGTTCTCAAAATGCCTCTCAGGGTTGTTCATCACCATATTCTGGGTGAAATCTGCGAAGAGAAAGAGTTTGAGAAGTAAACTCATCAGTTCTCTATACATTCTGTATCTTCAAAAGACAAGGTCAATGGCAAGTCTATATCTTCAAAAAAACATTGGGTCAATGGAAAGTCTGAATCATATCTCTTGTAGAATCACAAATCTTGTAGTACAAATGTCAATGCTGAGTAATCTGTCATTCTGATGATAGTGATAAAGTCTGATCTCATTTGACTGTAGCAATTCTAATGATCCAAGGGACTGATAATCATAATCAAATGTAAACAGTACTGTTAAGGGTGGAGCGAGGAGTGGACTGTGCTGTACCTGGCATGGGGGGGTTGAACGGTGCCTGTATGGGCTGGACCAGATCAGGCTGTGCTGGGTGAACCAGGTCTATGATGTCCTGGTCCTTGGGGCTGGTGGGTCTGTCCAAGGCTGAAAGGGGTGGTACAGGGCTGGGGCTGGGGCTGGGGGTGGATGCCAGGATGGGGGGTCTTGGTCCATCAAGCTCAGCTACTGCTGGGGTAGTCAGCAGGGAGTCGATGGTCTCCTCAAAGAACAGGATACAATCCTGCTCCTCCTGGCTTAGGAACTGCAGCGCCTTATCCTCCTGTAGAGGTCGACACAGAGCACAGGGCAACACAACACACATGAGTTACTTGGATGGGAAGCGCCGGCTACAGGGACACACTAGTAGATCATCAAAAACATAGGTTAAAGGTGCTCTTTGGTTAAGGGGTAATGGGTCACACATGAGTTACTGTTATACTATACTGTATGTCACAGTAATGTCTCTCCTATTCCATCTCAGGTCTAGTGTATGGAATATACTTCCTGTTGCCCAAAAAAGTTATGTAAAGGATGGAAACAAACACAGATCTTGTTCGTTTAGCCTTTCCCCTCGTACTCTAAAGGACCACACACACTACATCGAATGATGATCTGCCGTTCGTCTGACGTTCGTTCGGCGCACGGCGCGGGTGGACATCTGACTGCCAACATTTTTGCACGATTCTTAACTGAGAGACCCTGTGTCCCAATCCATCCAGCTGCCTGCCATCTCTCGTATGTTTGTGTATGTATGTGCGACGGTGAGAACACAGGGCTGCTTGTTTATGCTCTCCCACCTCCCAACCTTCTAATCCCCCCAACCTAGCTCAGAGACCCCCGTCCTGGAGGGAGGAGCCTACACCCTCCAGCCCCTCCCACAGGGAGGCCTCACTGCCTACATGTTACATCACTACCTGTCCCTCTGTACAGAGCACATTCAGCCACGAACACAACACAATAGAATAGGCATAGTGTATCCAATGATAGGGCTGCTTTGACGGCTGCTGGATGACACTGACTATAGATTTTTCCACTTCTCCCTGGGGTCTGTTTCACTCAAGATAATGCGCTGAATCAAAGGGCATCCTGGTTAGACTGTTTAAAATGAACCTTAAATGGGTTTAGGAAAAAGGTATTAGGTCAACAGAATGCACAATCCAGCTAGAGCCTAGCTATATATACTGTAGATCCCCATAAAACAATGTATCATCTAAATACACACGTAGGCAGTAGACACACAAACCTGGGAAGCGCACACAGACCCAAATACCTGGCTGACAATGGCCAATTTTTATTGCAACAAGAAAAGAAAATACAGATGCACCCATACACCTTTCATCGACAATTACCACCACTGTCAATCAGTGACAAACCAAATATTTTTGTTTGCTGTTTCAGGTTACGACCCTGTGCCTGTGATTACTAGAGTGAACAGATTACCACAGCAGCAGGATGCCATCTCGTTGCTAGGTATCACTGTAGGGATGGAGAGATCAACCTTTACCAGAGTAAATCTTTACCACAACACAGACCTACCTGTTCTACTGAGCCACACATACACACACACACATGTACGCACGCACCCATGTGCACACTCACACACACATGCACTCACGCACGCATACACCTGCAGACCAACCCCATCGAAACCAAACCCAAAGACCACTGACTTTTGTTGTGTGAAGCAGGACCTACAAAAATGCACCTTAACCGGTTTCCATCAGTCTCCGTGGTGTGTGTGTGTGTGTATGTCATCCCCGAGGCATGCAACAGGATGTAGTGGTTAATCCTGTGTAATTTCTCACTGACAGCATGACAGAGGGGGGCATGGAGACAGACTTTTCTGTATAAACAGCACAGTCAGGTTTTTTTTACAGTCACACAATGAAAAGCAACTGCTCTAAACCAGGAACAGGTGGGTGAATACTTCAACGCCATGCCCCCCTAACATGGGTGCATAAATTGTGAACAAAGGGAGAACTATTGAGAACTTTTGACCTAAGATACCAAGAGAATAAACCATTAACTAAAAGGGTTTCATATAAGTTATACTCACACATGGTCTACTCCGGGAGTTTCTTTTAGTGCCATCGTGACCCCCGTTGACCCCGAAGTGAAGGTTCGGATTGGCCTGCTCCCGGGCGTCCATGATTATCGGGTCAAATGCCAGGCGACTCGTGGGCATCTCATGAAGGGTCAGGGGTTTCCGAGCAGTCCTTGGAGAGAAAGTCTGGGAACGTGTCTGCTCTCACTCTGAATAACCTTTTAATCTCCTTAAACACAGTCTGAAAACAGAGAGAGGAGGGACCGCTTTAAGGAAAGGAGGCCAGGTCAAACAATAACACAATAGTAGGTGTACAGTATAAGACTACTTCCCTGATAGCCTGAACAATGGCTGTACAGTAATAGAATGAATGTAATAATACGGTGATGTTTCGGTTTACTATAATATCAATATCATGTTGTTGACTCTCAATAATCTCAGGGGAGACAGCTGGTGAGAACAGAACACTCTCCCACAGCTCCCCTGGGAAAATGTCTTCCTCCTTCCTTCCCTCCCCAAACACTTCTTCAGTGTAAATCTATTTAATGTAAATACCAAACTCTCAACCCAAAGTTTGAACTCCAAACTGACACTGACTCAACCATCTCAGCTGAAGTGAAGTATCAGTCATTTTGCAACAGGTTATCCCCAAGCATAGCCAAGAACAATGCGCACCTTGTTCAGTAGGTCCCTCCACTGGTGAGTCCTTGTCATTTATAACACAGTTATTACACTCTCTATAGCAGGTAGTTATTACAATATACCTAGCACCTGTCACTCCGTGGGTAGTCATGGCACAGCATCACTAGTACAGAGCTCATAAACTGATAGACGAGTTATTCTGGATCAGGTATGTTAGCGACGAGCAAACAGGCTCCACCTGACAATCCCTCCTTGTTTAGGACCTTCAATTGTATGCTCAAAGCTGTTGATGAGTCATTTGTCAAGGTGACTGCTTTGACACATTCCATTCTCGCCACTAGTTTCGACGTAGCCTATGAGTTTATGTCATGAACAAACAAAGCCTAAAAGGAAGACTTCATATTCCCAGTCCCAGTATTGTCTTGGCAGATTTGAAATAGGCTTCCATAGACACACGGTATGGTAGACACATGAATGTACTTTACTTCACTTTCATAAAATTGAGATATGCACTTACCTTTATACTAATCTCAAAAGGACCACATGGTACAGAGAAAAATATATTAAAATGTCTCAAAACTTCACTCTGTATACAGGGATGAAGTAACAAACTCTTCCCTTTCGTAGAACAAAAAACATAAAATCGTTAGCTTTGTTCTCAAAATTCTCTGCCCTCCCGTCTCCTCGCGGTACAGGCGTACTTGGCGAACTCCCCGTGCGTAATCTGGCAGGTCTCCTGTTCCAGTGGAGCGTCAAGCGCACAGGACTCCATCCAATACGGCAGCTGAGCAGTAAACTGGAGCTTTTATTCAAGTGCTGGAGACTGCCCACTGACTCATAGAAATGATTAAGAACGCCTTTCTTTGAGTCCCAGTTAAATATGTAGGCTATTATAGGCTTTTTCACTTAAACAATTAAGTAATCTTGGCTAATGACAGCATGGCCAGCCCTTGAACTTAACGCACGCACTAACTTGTCACATCTGGACTGTTCTGCAAACCTTTTGCTACAGACCCTATAGCCTACATATGAGCTAATATCATGCACGGGATGTAATTAATAATCCTGTTTAGCCTACATATCCCGTGTAGCCGCTTTTGCCCTGCCCTGCCCTGGTTGGGACCAAAACTTAACAAACCCGACTCTCTAGACAAGAGTTTCATTTGTTTCAGCTTTGGCACAAATGAGGTTGGCACTCAATGCACGCCATATCCTAGCATTGTTATTTACAGTTCATTCATAGGCAGGCATGTCTGTTATTTTCATGAATCATAGTGCCTCTCTTTTTTTCCAGCCTAGTGAGTGACATAATTATTGAAATTCCAAATAACTGTTATCATCATAGCCATACCAAAGTTTAAATGCAAGACAATTGGATAATTGTTATGTAATTTGGTTTACGTGCTAACATTGCTTTTAATTTGAGTACAATACATTTTTTTTTGTCATGACCCGGAAGTGTTTGGCCGCAGTTTTTGCTGCTGGCTTACACTAGTTTCCATCCATAATAGAAAGAAGCTTCATCTTTGTATCTGTGCCATAATTGCTTATATCATTATTTATTTATTTTTTGCCTGTTTTGCATGTTATTTTGGAATTAATACGTGTCACAAATCAGTTTGCAAACAATGTAAAAAATAATGTATTGAGTTAATAAAGCTGCATACAAACATGGTCTCTTTTTTGCTTTCTTGAGTAAGGCTTTCTGTGGTGGAGGGGCAGCCAGCGGAAAATACAGAAAGTAGGGGATGGTAATCTTCTCTAGTTGCGCCGTGATTGGCTCAGTGTTCTGTCACTCATGGGGACACTAGTCACTGCAAAATCTACAGGGAGAGCTAGAAAGTTCAAGCCCCCTTGGGTGCTGCCATAGATTTACATTAGAAGTGCCCATCCAAGAAGGCTCAAGGTCATTGGCCACAGATAAAAGGACATCAAATAACGTTATATCTACCGTAGCTTTGATTGGACTGATCACGTCTACATCATACTTTCTAAATCTTAGCTAGCCAGCTAGACAAGCAGTCATCATCATGAATCACGTCGACAATCTACTGGCAAATCCTTTTCAATCATTGTCATATGAAGATAAATTATAGATAAAACATATCAGTGCTCATCGGCCATTGGTCATAAACATTACACAACAAGTTGGAAATCACAAATTCAACAATGAGTGGTTTGGATGGAATCAGTGGCTAACTGCAAGTGTTGCAAAGCAATCACTATTTTGCTTCCCCTGCTATTCGGTGGTCCAAGTCTGGGTTTAAAGGTCTATTTTCCATGCTTAAAAGGATAAACATTCACACGCAACACCATAGGCCAGAAAAGGTTGAATACATTGGCCATGCTGTCAATCCAGTATGACTTCTGCCGGGTTCAAAACAACTGGAAAGTTGGAACTGGGAAATCTCAGACTTCAGTGAGTTCAAGTCAACTGGGAACTCGGGAAAAAAACTAGCTCTGACTGGGAAAATACGTTTTGAACGGTCATCCAACTCAGAATTCCAGTTCGGGAACTCGGCCTCTTTCTTGAGCTCCGACCTGAAGATCACTGACGTCATGATTCAACCTTGTTTTTTTCAGAGTTCCCAGTTGTGTTGAAAGCACCATAAATCCAGAGAATGGCAGACTTTGATGACAAAGTTTCATGACAAAATTTGCCCACAAGAAGGACCGCCGCGCCACCTTCCTGTTCAAGTGAGCACAGCACAACGGTGAGTCCAAAAATGTCTAATGTGCTGTTGCATAAATGATGTAATATGCCAGGGAGATATGTATACTGTAGAAATCAAGTCTAAGTGTATGTTGTGTAGTAAGCTGTTAGTAGCCCATGTGCCTCACCCTAATAATTTGGTCCCTTTCTCCCTCATAACTTAGCCTACAATCATTGGCTGATTGCTCCCAACCCATAGTAATCCCCACCCAGTTGACTACTTTGTCCATGATGAAAACAAGATATGTCCATCTAGAGCCCTCTTTCTACCTCTATGTCACCACCTGAAAGACACTCAAGAAGCCCTCAATGGCAATGTCCATGCTAAAACAAGATATGAACGGTCATCCAACTCAGAATTCCAGTTCGCACCCTGATCTGTTTCACCGGTCTTTGTGATTGTCTCCACCCCCCTCCAGGTATCGCCCATCTTCCCCATTATCCCCAGTGTATTTATTCCTGTGCTCTCTGTTTGTCTGTTGCCAGTTCATTTTGCTTCGTCAAGCCTACCAGCTGTTTTCCCCTTGCCCCTGTCTTTTTCAAGTTCCTGTTTTGTAGTTTTCCCGGTTTTGACCATTCTGCCTGCCCTGAGCCTGCCTGCCGTTCTGTACCTTGTCACACCACCCTGGATTATTGACCTCTGCCTGCCCTGACCCTGAGACTGCCTGCCGTTCTGTACCTTTTGGTCTCTGATCTGGATTACTGACCTCTGCCTGACCTTGACCTGTCGTTTGCCTGCCCACTGTAATAAACATTTGTTACTTCGACACTGTCTGCACCTGGGTCTTCTCCTGAAACTTGATAGTACGAACTGGCCATGACTGACCCAGCAGACTCGGACCAGCTCCACAACGCCATCTCCTTCCAAGGAGCCCCCATTGGCAACTAGGCAGAGCTAGGCTGTCTCCAGCCGAACGGCAATACAGGCTTCACACGAAGAGGTGCCTGTATTGTGGGACTACTGGTCATTTTGTGTCCACCTGTCCACTAAAAGACCAGGCTCACCGGTAGGAGCGAGTACTCTGGTGGGCCATACGGATAACTTTTCCTCTCCCCTTACTCGCATGCCATCTTGCTGTGGGGGAACCACTCGAAATCTCTCCGGGTACTCATCGATTCTGGGGCTGATGAGAGCTTTATGGACGCTACCCTGGCATCCGAGCTGGGCATCCCCACTCAGCCCCTCTCCATTCCCATGGATGTTAGAGCGCTGGACGAGCGCTCTATAGGCCCGGTCACCCACAATACCACCCCCATCAACCTACGAGTGTCAGGGAACCACAGCGAGACAATCCAATTCCTACTAGTTAAGTCTCCTCAGGTTCCTGTGGTATTGGGTTTCTGTTGGCTCCAGTGACACAACCCCTTTATTGACTGGTCTACTGGTGCCATCATGGGCTGGAGCCCGTTCTGCCACGCTCATTGCCTGAAGTCAGTGCAGCCTACCCCGGGATGTCTTCCTGGGGGCTTGGAAGTTGCCTCAGCCTCTCCACCATTCCCACGGAGTACCAGGACCAACGGGAGGTGTTCAGTAAGGCCCGGGCCACTTTGCTTCCACCGCACTGACCCTATGACTGCGGAATCAACCTTCTCCCAGGCACCACTCCGCCCCGGGGACGACTGTACTCGCTGTTGGGTCCGGAGACCAAGGCTATGGAGACCTACATTGAGGAATCCCTAGCTGCCGAGTTCATCCGTCCTCTGCCTCCCCCGCTGGCACAGGGTTCTTCTTTGTGGAGAAGAAGGACAAAACCCTGTGCCCGTGCATCGACTACCGGGGCCTCAATGACCTCACGGTGAAGAACCGCTACCCACTACCACTCATCTCCTCGGCCTTCGAGCAACTCCAGGGGGCCAACGTGTTCTCCAAGCTGGACCTATGGAACGCCTACCACCTGGTGCGGATACGGGAGGGGGACGAGTGGAAAACTGCCTTCAACACGGCCAGCGGTCACTATGAGTATCTGGTCATGCCATTTGGCCTTACCAATGCTCCAGCTGTGTTCCAGGCCCTGGTTAATGATGTACTCCGTGACATGTTGAACCGGTTCGTCTTCGTCTACCTCGACAACACCCTCGTCTTCTCCCGCTCCGCCCAAGAACACGTGCTCCACACCCGACAGGTCCTCCAACGCCTCCTGGAGAACCAGCTTTTTGTGAAAGCGAAGAAATGCGAATTCCATCGCTCCACCATCCCCTTCCTGGGCTACATCATCGCTGCAGGGAGTGTACAGATAGATCCCGGGAAGGTGAGAGCGATGGTGGATTGACCCCAGCTTACGTCCAGAGTGCAGCTGCAACATTTCCGGGGATTTGCAAACTTTTATCGTCGCTTTAGCCAGGGTTATAGCACCCTGGCTTCCCCCCTGTCTGCACTCACCTCTCCCAAGGTTCCGTTCACATGGTCCCCAGCTGCTGACCAGGCGTTCCGGGACCTCAAACACTGTTTCACCACTGTTCGGCCCTGGACCTCAAGTTACATCCCTGCGCCTTCTTCTCCCATCGCCTCAACACCACAGAGAGGAATTACGATGTGGGGAATCGTGAGCTTCTCACGGTGAAGATGGCGTTGGAGGAGTGGAGGCACTGGCTGGAGGGGGCGGAACATCCGTTCATTGTGTGGACAGACCACAAGAACTTGGAATATCTCCGCACCGCCAAGCGTCTCAATTCCCGGCAAGCTAGGTGGGCCCTGCTTTTCACCCGGTTCAACTTCTCCCTCTCATACCGACCAGAATCCAAGAATGTCAAGCCAGATGCGCTGTCACGCTGCTATAGCCCCGCGGCTACACCCCCGGAATCCGAGACCATCCTTCCCGTGCTTGGCGACGGCACTCAGTTGGGGAATAGGGAAGCAGGTCCGGGAGGCACAGCGTTCCCAGCCGAACCCTGGGGGGGGGGGGGGGGGGGGGGCAGATAACCGGATGTTTGTTCCTGACGCTGTCCGCTCCTCGGTCCTGGAGTGGGCCCACTCCTCCAGGCTTGCCTGCCAGCCGGGCTCCTGTCAGACCCTGGCCTTTGTGCCACAATGCTTTTGGTGGCCTACCATGGTTCCTGACGTCTCCGTGTTCGTCGTTCCTGCACGATCTGTGCACAGAACAAGACTCCTGGGCAAGCTCTGGCTGGTCTCCTCCCACCTCTGCCTGTTCCTCACCGTCTCTGGTCTCACATATCCCTGGACTTTGTCACGGGAGTTCCCCCGTCTGATGGCAGCACCGCCATCCTAACAGTTGTGGACCAGTTTTCCAAAGCCGCCCACTTCATT